TTGTAAAAAATAAATTGAAATATTTACGGCACATTCATGACAACAATGAAACTATGGTCACTATACAGTAGGGTTGCAACGTCATAGAAGACGGCGCTTGCATGCCACATTGCAAAACTAGCATTGAGAATAGACCATCATAACACCGACGAGCCTCCCGTTACCCTATACGGTATCCCCGATGAAGTATAACCTGAAGGTTCCTGTGATAAGGAAAGGATTGTACATGAAGAAAGTTAACCTAAAACCTTAAATAGAATGACATAAACTACACTCCGACCCAGACTTTAAGCTAGACTTAGCTTTAATTCTGGGTCGCTTAAAACGATACCAAACACTAACAAAAACTGATGTCATAAATTGCTTTTACTTGTTAATTTTACTTCGAATTTAAAGGATTCTGCATTCTGTTATGTATGATAATAAAACGTCAATCATACTGGTTAGACATAAAAGAGTTAAATGAAACGCGATTAGACTCAAAAATGGAATTAGAAAAGTGAAACCCTCAAATGTCAATGAAGCCAAAGAAGCTGTGAAAGATGGATTAGAAACGCCTTAACTTATTTAAAAGGTATTGAATTCTATTAGATATAGCTAACTTTGACAGTTGTCGCAGAAAAAAACTGAAATTAAGGTAATTTTTTTACATTTTAAATAGACATAAGTTTAAAAGAAACTGCTGGCAACCCTAATGAACAATGACCAAGGGTCTCATAGTATTTACTTATTATTCATTTATACAGTCTTTATCGATGGTGTTGATGGCAGGAGCTTTTTAGAATTTAGCAGACTTGTGAGACGTGAATCTAGGTTAGGTCTTTGAATAGTATGAAGTAGTGTAGTGTAGCGTGATAAGTCATGGTAAGATCGCACCTTGTGTTATAGCTTTTATGATATATTGTGTACCCGCCCGAAGTTTTGAATCTGTAGATGCCTCAGTCGTCTGAATCAAGTTGGACATTTACTTTTATATACCACTAGCTATGTCCCGCGATTACTAGGAATACTACATTTTTTCGTGATAAAAAACCTGTTATACCAGATAGACAGGTACCTCCATACCAAATTTTATCAAAATTGGTATAGCCGTTTGAGCGTGAAGAAGTAACAAACAAGTACACTCATAAACTTTCGCCTTTATTTAGTGTGATGTTTTATACTACATGGCAAGAGCTTTTCATTGACAGGCTGAGGTTAAGGGATACTTGAGCATATGCTAAAGTACACTTTCGGGAGCATTATAGAGAGCTCTGGGAAACGATGATATGAACATGTTTAAAGGAAGGAATAATATGTTTTTACAGCGCGTATGACTTAGAATTTAAAGGATTTGGGTCAGTAATTAGGTGGTCCGTGTGCTTATTTGCCAAGTTAGTTGTAAAATGTATCCTATAATTTTTTAAACAACAGCTTAACACAGATATTGTAGGAATATCTAATATATTACTACAATAGCGCAAAGTCAACGTCGTTTAAACATTAGATAGATTACATGATTTAACCAGTTATCACTATAAGTATTTCTATAATAAAATAACGGTGTTTAAGTTATAATGCTAATAGCGTTACAAAGTAAATTAACGATGCGAGACTAAACCAAGTGGGTCACCAAAACGTAGTACTTTCTAATTTCTTTGATTTTTTATTATGTACGACTTCCTTGTACAAGTTTTTTAAATTACCACCTTATTGAGTACAATGATATATTATGACATTACTAAAAAAATACTTTGCTATGTTATTATGTTTATGGGCATTAGAGTTGTAGTTAATTTATTTAATCAGTTATTAGAATTGATGTTATTATTTTGTGAGTGATTGAATTTAACAGAACATATTGTCAAAAAAATTGTAATAATTAGAAAAATCAAATTATTTTTAACTTAGAATAACAGGCTGTGGTCTTTTTTTAAAATTTCGGAATTATTATTAAAAAAAAGCTAAACGACTATTTCCCCTTAAACTGATCAAGTATCAGCCTACTGATTGCTTGCGTTTTTAGCGCAACTTTATAGCGTTAAAAATAACTTGAGTCTTTTAACATATTTCACTTAAAAAAACACTAAAATTATTTTAAAATTTAACGTTTTTTCCTATCAGTCAGTTGCAACACAAATCGTTTTTTAATTTACTGAAGTGAAATATTTTAACTATTTTTATCCAAAGAAACTAGAAAATGACAGAAAAATAAATTATGATAGCGCACTGTTTGGTGCAGTGTTTAATGTCCTTGGTATTAAAATATTTTACTAATGTTTGATACCGTTTCATTATATCACTCTCGATTATGTAAACATATTCTTCTTTTTTTTTATGGAAGAGGGGTACAAACGAGCAGACGGGTCACCTGATGGAAAGTGACCACCGCCGCCCATGAACGCCTGCAACTCAGAAGTCGCAAACGCGTGGCCGGCCTTTGGGGAAGGAGCACGCTCTTTTCTTGAAGGTCGTATCGGTCCGGAAATACCGCAGCCGACAACTTGTTTCACAGATTGGTTTTGCGCGGCAAAAAGTGTCTTGAAAAGCGCACAGTAGCGTGGCACACATTTGTCCGTAGATGGTATCATCCTTTCTGAGGTATTTAATTACCAGTCAAATAGATTAAGCCACTGTTTTTGTTTTGCCTTTATTGTTCAATCCATAGTAATCCATATCCATACTGATATTATAAATGCGAAAGTGTTTCTGTCTGTTACCTCTTCACGTTTAAACCGCTGAACCGATTTAGATGAAATTTGGTATAGAGATAGTCCGAGTCCCGGGTATATCCGGATTTATCATACAGAGTAGTTTTTTTCCCAGATATCACCCTTTAAGGGGGTGAAAAGAAGGTGGAAGTTTGTATGCGGCATCAATAACCAGTGAACCGATTTTTTTTTTTATTCGTCATATAAGCCAAAAACACAGGAAGTATTAAAACATAACACGATAAACCACAAAGGTTTGTGGACTGTTACACTGACAGTCAGTATCGCATAATTACAATTATTTTTACATTACTCGTAGTACGAGACTTACATCTCGCCAGGCCATCCATTAGCGTATTACATGCGTATGAAATTTGATATGGAGATACTTTGATTCTTGAGGAAAGACATAGGCTTTAATAGTTCTATACTTATCTGACATTGCATGTCATTGCAAAATATAAAAAATAAAATTATAAAAGTTAATAATATAAACGTGTTTCTCTTTCATTTCAAACTAGGAGTTTCATCTGCATTTACGGTCATTTCGATTTTTAAAAATGGTACAATGATTACTAAATGTACAATCTTATACTCAATTCAGTATATACAAAAAAATCAAATCCGAATTATAAAGTTTGTTTCTGAATACTTTTTATACTGCTTGTTATCTAATATTCTCGTCAGTAATAATTTAAAAAAGTTTGTTATTCAAAACTTTTTTTTCTAATCCCTCTATAATCCTAATTCTTTTTACAAGACTCGGAAATAAGATTGATTGTCGTAAAATCTTTTATGTAGGTATACCATAGAGTGTAGACGTATAAAACGTATTGTTTGTAATTCACGCGTTGCCTTGATGCATATTAAGTGCAAGGTGGTGCATTGCCCCGCTGGTGGCGTTGCTTACGAAGTACAACGTTAGTTACGAACTGCGGTCTAAGGTCGTAGGCATTTGACACGAAAGCCATTTGTGTTCTATCGATAAGAGAATGATCAAGTTAGGTTATTCATGTTATTTAATTTAAATTTAAGTAATTCTGTCATTTTCTAAAAAAAGTTTTTTCCATGTCATGTGAATGTCAAAATATCTAAAATTTTACTACTATGATAAGCTGCGCGTTTGTTGTTATAACCGCGGGTAACGCCGCGGGGCGGAACTAGTCTAAAAAAAGTAGCCTAAGTTACTCCTTATGTCATCAGCTATCTGCCAGTGAAAGTCCCGTCGAAATCGGTCCAGCCGTTCCAGAGATTACCCGGAACAAACAGACAGACAGACAAAAATTGAAAAAAAATGATATTTTGGCATATGTACCGTGTAAACATACATATGCATTTAGTAAAAAGCGGTTATTTTAATATTACAAACAGACACTTCAATTTTTTTTATTTGTATAGAAAAGAAAATGTTCCATTAGTTAAGAATATGTAACTCTCTATTGTTTTATTACAAATACAATACAAATAAATTTAAAATTTAAATAAAAAAAAACATTAATATTGTCCAGTTAGTTAATACGTATCAAATTTTTGAAGAAATATATGAAGTATAGATATTTAATTTAAATGTTTTTTTTTATTATTTTAGATTTCAACGTTAAAAGTTTTAACAAAGGTTAATTCTAAATTTAAATTGCAATTTTCTCTATTTATAGTAAGCCGTGTTTACGTAATAAAAAAAGTATCTACTAAGTAAACACATATGTTTTCGGTATAAAAATATGTGTTTTTATATATCATAATTAACTTTTTTATATGTACAGAATATGCATACTTTAATACAAAGATAGAGTACGGCTCTAGAAACCTATAACCTCCTTATTATGTGCACCATTTTCAGAAAAGCCCATTTATAATTGGGGTGGATTAAATTAGGATTTATTTTATATTATCGATCTAAGTGGCGTGCAATGGGAGAGGCCTATGTCCAGCAGTGGACTGCGATAGGCTGATGATGATGATGATATTAGGAGCCTGGTTTTCGGTGACAGCAGTGGACTTTTTGTTGATTACATTTAAAGTATCAACTTCAAAAATGATAAAGTCAAATATATTTACATATTCATAATATTAACCCACATTCAAAACGATTCAATTAAAATTTACTTTAAACTCTGAAATTATTTTTCGCAAAACACTCATTTACAAAGTACTGCGGCAATTTTAGTTGTTCTTTTCGAAAACCTTTAATTACATATGAACTTAACAAACACGCAAATCTCAAATTTCAAACCGCCAAATATTCATCAATTTCCTAAATAAATATTTATTTTGTAGCAAACGTAATTTAGTTACATTTCGGTTCTTTTATCAAAGAGCCGAAATAGTACAGTGTAAGTAATCAAAATGCAAATATGGAGTCTTGGAAGAGTGCGTGGGCCTTATCCTGCGACCCACATCTGCAAGGCCGTGGTAGCCCTACGACAACGTTTACGAAACACGTATTTTTTATTCAAATCAAGGGTTAGTTATAATAATTTTTATATAACAATTAGAATACGTGGTAATGATGTGTTATCAATATTTTAGTGTTAAATGTGAGTGTGGGTGTAAAACTGTTAAGTTGATATTTTTTTATGTTATAAAAAAAGCAAACGAGGTCAAAAGAAACTATATTGCGATCATGTCACGTCATAGCTTGGACTTGCAGAGAGTATTAAAGTAATTTAAAAGAGTATTTGAAATGCACGGGAAACTTCTACTTTAAAGTGTAAACTTAAAAGAGGCAAGTCCGGGTAAGTCCCGGGTTTGATTTTTTTAGTGTGCAAGAAATGTATTTTTCCTTACTTTCATGGCAGTTGTTCATAAAGAAACTTGCTTAGACTTACGCTTAGCTTTACGCAACTTTTGTAAAAGCCTGGTTTGGATCAGTAATATGCAAAGCATTGATCCTATTTGAAAAGGTAAGGTGCATAGGAACATAATTGTAAATGTTACTCTCTATTAATTTATTTTTACAAGTAGAATCAAACTTATGATGTTTATTATCTTAACACTCTCCGTACAGTGAGAAGCATTCATTATTGTGCATAGCCTTAAATTATCAAAACAGGACTCGTTAAAATATGCAAGTGTGATGTGTGTATATTATTGTAATAGTTTTGCAAACTTTTGTTTACGCTTTTATAAGTACTGCTCTGTTTTTATTGAACAATTTTCTTTAAGCTTAATTAATCTTAAAGAAAATTGAGATCATAATCTTAATCGTATTGACGTCAATCTTAAATAATGAAGTTTATGAAGATATGTATTAGTTTATCGAACAGATATGAGTGTAACTTACCTTAAAAGTTTTGTAGGACGAGACGACATATGACGCACCATCCTCCAGCTCCTCAAGCCTATACTTTCTGTCACCGTCCATGCCAAAGATAAACCGCGCTCCTCTCGGCAATTCAAGCCTCTCTGATAATCTATCAAGCAGTGCATCCATTGATGCCAGATCTCTTCCTGGCTTGAAACGAAACTCAACACCAGGATGAAAAGGGTCACCATTTCGGTAGAAAGTGACACGTCTGGCCTTCCAGTAATTAAGATTAGCATATCGGGACGTTGGTTCTGTTCGATTCGGGCGTGTTGTGATTTCAGAACCTTCGGAGATGTCGTCAGTGCGTTGTGGTGGGGATGCCGGTCGGGACGATCGCCAATCACCGGGCTCTCGTTCGTCATCTGACGGCGGCTGTTCGGTGATGGGTGGTGGTTGAGGAGGCGCTGGGTCTGGTGGCGGCGGTGGTTCAGCCTGCCGGCAAGGACGCGAGAGTAGGCGCGGTCGGGGGTGCGGGCGACGCGACATACCTCGCCCCGGACCGTCCGCAGACTGGTCGTTTCGCGCCCCCGCCACCGCCTACTGCCAATCAACTGATACCACTGTCTATTGGAGTCCATTCATGAAATAAACACGTGGTTGATTGATTGGTTGTAGGCGGGAGTAATAATTCTTACAACAAGGTTGAAATCTAGTTTGTCTAGTCTTTTTTTACAAATAACTGTTTGAACATTAAAATAAAACTTTGAAGTTTACCTATATAATTATAAAAAATAATTGATGCATTTTGTTTTAAATGACGTTGTACTATTGTATTTTTTTTATTAGCATATCTCAAATCTACTTAATTAGCGAGCCAATTAGCTGCGCCAAACCTTTTTAGTTGATGGTCTTAGTTATATATTAAACTACAGTTGTTCTCTATCATTTTCATTTAAAAGATAAATCAAATACTTACAGAGCAATCAAAAAATACAGAGATCATTATAAACCCTTGATTTTCACACTCCACCCTTTCAATGATTTGAATTTAAACTAAAGTAAAACTTAGATGTTCCGAAGATAAGATTTAACGAGCTGTGGCCGTTGCCGTGACTAAGTTATACTAGTCACGACTATCGACTAAGTTATACCTAAGTAAAGTTATAAGTGATGAAAATAAATGATTCAACTTGATGTTAGTCATAAAGAAAATTATTTACTTGTAAAATAATTATGGTGGTTTCTTATCGATGCTAACTTAGATTTGATTGTAGCCCTTGAGTGTTACTCAGAGTTCGTGGAACTCACTTACAATTTTGAATGTGACTGAATATTTAATCTGTGATATCATCGTTTATTGTGAAACATTATGATTCATATAATCGAAATCATTATTTTATTTCATAAATATCACTTTTTTTTTTTAAATAATAACTTAAATATTTTACTCGTTTATAGGAAACTTGTTTGGTAAATATTATAGTTACATACTAGTTATGTTATTAATTTTATGTTATTTCAAATATCTTTAATAAATAAATAACGTAGTATAATGGTATACCTAGAGCAACTTTGAAAAATTTCAATTTTATATTTTTAATCTGCTGTAAAGGTTCAAAATTTTAAAGTTCAAAAAAGAACAAAAGAAAAAAATTGGAGTGAGTTATTAACTAAAAAAAATATTGCCACATTATCGTTACGTTTGCTAATTATCAACAGGTAGCTTACTAATTAAAACATGTAACTATATACACAAAAAACCGCACATCTGTTAACTCTTAATGAATATTCATTATATGAATTAACAGCATATTTATGTCACTAAATCATTACTAACATGTTGACTTACCACGGCCGCAGTTGGCACAGCTTCTTCAGTAGCCATCACCAATAGACAGGTGCACGATCACAAAAGCACTAAATTATTAAGTTCAATTTAAAAAAGAAACTACTAAAATCGCATTAGTAACTAGCCCTCGCGTCATAAGACCCGGAAATTGGTTTCAATAAATTAAAAGTCTTTAATTACGTCACGTCCGTACAACACTGCATAAATACGTTAAATTTTTAAAGTCCTTTGAATATTTTAAAATAGTTTTTAAGTAGATATGGATAAGTTGTTTTTGTTGTGAATGAAGGTGGTAGTCGTCCGGTTATGTTTTGTTGGCGGAACAAAGTGAGCAGAGTTACGGCAGTTCGAATGGACGGCAACGCCAGCCAGCGGGCAGCGCACCCGAGTGCGAATACGTGGCGAGAACACATACAAAGGCACGTTGTTAATTAATCGATATTATTTTTAGGACACGAATGTAGGTGTAGTTTGAGAGATTCGGAGAGGATTTCATGGAATTAATACAATAATTAGTGTTAGTTGATAAATGATAGCGTTGTGGTATAGATGAATAGCGGTTATACTAATTTTATTTTAAATCATCTAAAGTTATGACCAATTCTATAGATAGAGAATCATTTATTGTTGTCGTGTTTTCAATATAAATATTGTATTTTACGTGAACTAGCAGCTATATCTCTCTTTTATTTACTGCATATAATTACTAGTAATTCAAGTAAAATATCCATGACTTTTTCAAAATAATTTAGGTTCTTGTTGATAATACTGAAATTGTTTTAAAAAAGTCAGGGATATTTTTAAACCTTTTTATACTTATCATAAATATTAATTAAAAATGCCTTTTATACGTCAGATCTCTGCTATTACTGCAGTATTACTGTGAATCATGAGAGAACCGTTTTTTTCTCAAAATTGCAATTTTAAGTGGTCTCTCTAACTTGAGGCACACCGGTTGGCCGCCGGTCAACGTAGCCTATTGCTGGAACGTATTTATGTAGGTTAAGACTATATTTTTTCACCTCTTACACTTTTCGGTATGTATTGTACCATTTAGGAGTTCCAATTATTTTTATAATTGGTTATTTATGTTTATACGCATTATATTTTATTGTGCAATTGAAATATTATTTTGTGTTACGCTTGTAAAATATATTTTACGAGAAATACTTTTTTTTAAATAAGTGAAGGACGATGTCTCAAGCTTATAATTAGGGGCTTAAATCCAAAAAAACATCGTAAACGTCTACCAAAAAGCCTTTCGCTTTCGTTTGCTAAACTGTTATGGTATTTTTTACTATAAAATATCAAGTTAATAGAATTAAATTGATAAATGTAATATAAAATATATTTATTATTTATAAAATACACTGACTTATCTGGGATATTTAAGTTAATTGTAAAAAATATTGTTTCCTTTTTCATATTAATAATTTTGAATTTACGATGATGTACGTAATTAAAAAATAAATAGTAACACGGTGTTTATGTTAAAAAATAATTTAATAAACAACAACCACATAAGAGCCACAGAACTTATGTGCCGGATCGACCGAAGTGATGCCACGGTATCACAGATCACCAGTGTCAAGCAGTTCTTTCCTTGCTTTTACCGAATGAGTAATGTTACTGGAGCTCAAACGGCGAGGTTTGGGCTCCAGGCTTCCTCTTTTTATTTTAAAGACAACTCCCGTACTACAATTATATTCTGTGTCGCGGATGACTTAACAGATATTATGGAACGGACACAAAGAACAACAATGTGTGGATAACACAAAGCCTTGTCCCGTGTGGGGACCGCAACCACAACACGCTACAACCAATGCGGGCTCAAAAGAGGCAACGCACTTGTGACTCTTGAGTTGCAGATATCCATAGGCGGCGGTAGTCACTTACCATCAGGTGACCCGTCTGCGCACTCACCCCTCATGCAATAACAAAAGCTTTCTTTATGTATAGTGTGTTATTAGTCTGTAAGCCTTCCTAAAAATAATTGTAAAGAGTTTTGTACCATGACAGGTGAAAATATACTGGACACTTATCCGCGACTTCGCTCGCGTAATTATTTCGTGTTGGTAACAACCGTTTATTCCTTATTTGTAAAATTAAAAAAAAAAAACTTTACATAAAAAGCATCAGCTGCAAAATTCCAAGTTTGTCCAAACTTGGCTCTACGTTGATGATTCAGACATTCACACTGTTGAGCCGATTTTAAAATTACTTAAACCAATGGAAAGTTACATTATCAGCGAGTAACATAGGCTACTATTTACTGCTTTAACCGACATCGGTTGCAGCCGCGGGCAAAAATTTGTTGGTATTTATTTTGGATATTTGGTTTAATTCTATGAGTAAAGTATCTTGTGTCTTAATGAAGTTAATAGGCAAAAACATACAATTTATTACAAAAACAACTTTGATCATCACGTTGAATTGTCATGAACTGTGTTCTTCATTTCTTAATTTCACCCTTAGAGGTGGCATTGCTAGGCTGTTTCAAGTCTATCAAAGCCTCTTTATTTTAAAGTTACTTAATATCATTGAGATTTGTCACTTAATACTTGTTAAATTATCTTAATTTTAAGATAAATTAATAAGTGCTTAACTTTTACAGTTGTCTTCTAACATCTAAGGTCAAAACCATTTAAACAATTGATTTTCTTCAGGGTTACATTTGTCCCTTTTAAACTAACAATATATCCAGTTGCTTGGACTTTGGTCCGTGAAGATTGGTCCGTGTAGTGACGGATTAAGAATACGGAATGTCACTACCCCAATTCATCCCGTGGGTGTCGTAAGAGCCGACTAAGGGCGCAAAACAACGCAGGACACCAGCACTGCAAAAAGACGGAAAACTTGACACAAACCCTATACCAACCCGTCTGGCCAGCGTGGTATAGTAGGCCAAAACCTCCTTTCTAAGGAGAGGCCTATGTCCAAAAGAGGTCGATATCGACCACTATTGGAAACCCTTTTTTTTTTTTTAACGTGTGGAAATCCCCTCGGACCGTCACCCCTCCGGGGTTTGCGGCGGGGTGGTGTGTCGGACTCGGACCGACTAAAACCACACGGTGTGCCACTCTGCGCCTGTAACAGGAGGGATCCGGGAACAGCTGTTGTTAAGACATCCGGACCCCTCCTAGCGCCAGCCCGCTCCTGGTGCGGGCTCCGTCTCAATGTAGATGTTCCTCTCTTTAGGCGACGTCCGGCACACGCGGACGCCGCCCCCTCGCAGCTGGCCAACTAATGCGGGTGGAGGGGAAACCCACCCCGTCCACCCGCGGCCACACTCAGGGCGGCATGAGGCTGTGGTAGGCGGGCCTCCGCCGCCCGGTTCGCCGGCGGCGGATCGGGTCCGAGTGGAGGTCGTCCTCCCGGGCCCTTTCCGCCGCCTCCTTCCGCGAGATTACTACCTCGCAGAAGGTTGCGACCGCGGTAAAACAACTGTCGCTACCGGCCATGGAGCGTACTACGGCCGGTAGCGAGAGATCCACTCCGATGACTGCAGTGAGGGCCCGGCGCTGCGCCGCCCATGCGGGGCAGACCGCCAGCGTGTGCTGGGCCGAGTCCTCACTGCAGTCGCAGTGGTGGCAGGCGGGACTCAGTTCCCTCCTAGCGACCGTGTGCAGGTACTTTCCGAAGCAACCGTGCCCGGAAAGCACCTGCGTCAGTCGGAAGGAAAGGGTCCCGTGCTGCCGCCCTGCCCACTCGGCGATGACCGGCTGGAGAGCCTCCACGGCGGCGAAGCCAGCGCGTGGAGTCTCCAGCCGGAACGACCAACGAGCCATCGTGGCTCGGCGAGCGGCTTCGCGCCACTCGCGCACATCCTCGGGCGGAGGGCGAAATCCGCTCTCCGCCCGGAAGTCAGCCACTCGCCGATAAACTTCGGCGAGCACTTCCGCCTCCAAATCCCACGGGGGAGTTCCGGCCAACGCGCACGCCACCTCCGTAGAAACGGTGCGGTAACCGCGTATGGCTCTGACCGCCATTACCCTCTGAGGGCGCCAGAGGCGTACCCTATTCTGGGCGGTCAGAGCCGCCGCCCACACCGGTGCACCGTACAGCGCCATTGACCGGACAACCCCCGTGTACAGCCGTCTTGTCGCGACGCTGGGTCCACCCATATTGGGCAAGAGTCGCCCTAGGGCAGACGCAGCGCCGACCAGCTTTGGAGCAAGCTGTCGGAAGTGCTCGTCGAAGAGCCACCTCCCGTCGAGGATCAGGCCCAGATATTTCATCTGGGCCCGAACCGGTACGAGGACCGAGTTGACCACTATTGAGGCGCCAGGGGGTGGACCACGACGGGGCCCATGAAATAATAGGGCCTCCGTCTTATCTAGGGCCACCCGTAAGCCCAGCGCCTCAATGCGCCCGACCACCAGGGAGACTCCCCCTGTGGCCAGGCGCGCCGCCTCTTGGAAGTTTGCCCCCCGGGCTGTCACGAGGGTATCGTCTGCGTAACAGATTACACCCAGCCCGGGGGGGAAATCGGCGCGAAGGGCCCAGTCGTACCCTATGTTCCACAAGAGGGGTCCAAGAACAGACCCCTGTGGAACACCGCACGACATGGGCCGACTCCTCAAATTACCTTCTCGGTCCTCGTACACGACGGTACGCTCCTCTAAATAGTCTGCCACCAGCCGCCTCAGGTACTTTGGCACCCCATGATAGTGGAGTGCTTCCCTGATGCAGCTGAATGGCAGACTATTGAATGCGTTGGCGATGTCCAATGACACCGCCAACAGCACGCCGCCACAGCTCACGGCCTCTTCGGTCACGGCCCTCAGGCGCAACACGGCGTCGACTGTCGAACGCCCCGCCCGAAAACCAAATTGGGCGTCCGACAGATCGGGGCCCACCTCGCAGAGGTGCCGGACGATGCGGGCAGAAAGAACCCTTTCAAACAATTTGCCCGCCTCGTCCAGCAGCACGATGGGCCTATAGGCCGCGACCGAATCGGCTGGCCGTCCCGGCTTCCTCAATAGGACCAGCTTCCCGCTTTTCCAGCACTCAGGGAAGCGTCCCGACGCCAAGCT